CCCCAAAACCCCAAAACCCCAAAACCCCAAAACCCCAAAACCCCTGTGAAGGTATAAATAGTTGATTCTTGGATAAGTATCTAAAATAAAAAATAAAGATATGGAAGGTGGAAAGATTAAAGTAACAAATCCTATTGTCGAACTTGACGGTGACGAGATGACCAGAATCATCTGGCAAGTCATTAAGGATGAACTTGTTCACCCATACTTGGATCTTGACATTAAGTACTACGATCTTGGTATCCAGAAGAGAGATGAGACTGATGACCAGATTACTATTGAAGCTGCTGAAGCTATTAAGGAGTACGGAGTTGGTATTAAGTGCGCTACTATCACTCCAGATGAAGCCAGAGTTGAAGAATTCGGCCTCAAGAAGATGTGGAAGTCTCCAAATGGTACTATCAGAAACATTCTCAATGGAACTGTCTTCAGAGAACCTATTGTCATCGATAATATCCCAAGACTTGTTCCAGGATGGACTAAGCCAATTATCATTGGAAGACATGCTTTCGGAGATCAATACAAAGCCACTGACTTCATTGCTGACAAGCCAGGAAAGTTCAAGATCCAATTCGTCCCAGAAGACGGATCTGAAGCCACTGAGATGGATGTCTTCGAATTCAAGGACAGAGGTATTTTGATGGGAATGTACAACACCGATGAGAGTATCAAGGGATTCGCTCACTCAAGCTTCAAATATGCCATCAACAGAAAGTACCCACTCTACTTGTCTACCAAGAACACCATCCTGAAGAAATACGACGGAAGATTCAAAGACATTTTCGCTGAAGTACATGAGGAATACAAGGAAGAAATGGAAAACCTAGGTATCTGGTATGAACATAGATTGATTGATGACATGGTTGCCTACGCTCTTAAGGCTGAAGGAGGTTTCGTCTGGGCCTGTAAGAACTATGATGGTGATGTTCAATCAGACACTGTCGCTCAGGGATATGGATCACTCGGGTTAATGACTTCCGTTCTCCTCTCCCCAACTGGAGCTGTTGAAGCAGAAGCTGCCCATGGTACCGTCACCAGACACTACAGACAACACCAAGAAGGAAAGCCAACCTCCACCAATCCAGTTGCCAGTATCTTTGCTTGGACTAGAGGACTCACCCAGAGAGCCAAAGTAGACGGAAACGACGCATTGGCCAAATGGTCTGAGATCATGGAATCATCTATCATTGAGACCATTAAGTCAGGAAAGATGACCAAAGATTTAGCTATCTGTGTTGCCGGAACCTCCAGCGTTGACGAGTCAACCTACCAAACAACTACCGACTTCATTGCTTCCATCAAGGCTACCTTTGATACCAACTGGAACAAAATCAAGGACACTCTCTAAATTTAATTCCATAGTGTGAAGAGGCTATTAAATCTATAGACGTCCAATTCGTGTCACATAATTAGGGGTTTTGGGGTTTTGGGGTTTTGGGGTTTTGGGG